CACATTGTTGTAGACTTGATACACTTAGGGTACCGGTGACAATAATCACATTGTTGTAGACTTGATACACACAGGGCAGCAGTGACAATAATCACATTGTTGTAGACTTGATACACACAGGGCAGCAGTGACAATAATCACATTGTTGTAGACTTGATACACTTAGGGTACCGGTGACAATAATCACATTGTTGTAGACTTGATACACTTAGGGCACCGGTGACAATAATCACATTGTTGTAGACTTGATACACTTAGGGCATTGACAATAATCACATTGTTGTAGACTTGATACACTTAGGGTACCGGTGACAATAATCACATTGTTGTAGACTTGATACACTTAGGGTACCGGTGACAATAATCACATTGTTGTAGACTTGATACACTCAGGGCAGCAGTGACGGTGAATAATCACATTGTTGTAGACTTGATACACACAGGGCAGCAGTGACAATAATCACATTGTTGTAGACTTGATACACACAGGGCAGCGGTGACAATAATCACATTGTTGTAGACTTGATACACTTAGGGCACCGGTGACAATAATCACATTGTTGTAGACTTGATACACATAGGTAGCGGTGACAATAATCACATTGTTGTAGACTTGATACACTTAGGGTACCGGTGACAATAATCACATTGTTGTAGACTTGATACACTTAGGGTACCGGTGACAATAATTGTACACTTGATACACTAGGGTTGATACACAATCACAGGTAAGACTTGATACACTTAGGGTGACAATAATCACATTGTTGTAGACTTGATACACTTAGGGTATCGGTGACAATAATCACATTGTTGTAGACTTGATACCGCACAGGGCACCAGTGACAATAATCACATTGTTGTAGACTTGATACACTTAGAGACTTGATAATAATCACCTTGTTGTAGAGACTCTGATACATAATCACGTTGTTGTGACTTGATACACAATCGGTGACAATAATCACGTTGTTGCTAGACTTGATACACTCAGGGTACCGGTGACAATAATCACATTGTTGTAGACTTGATACACTTAGGGTATCGGTGACAATAATCACATTGTTGTAGGACTTGATACACTCAGGGTATCGCAGTGACAATAATCACATTGTTGTAGACTTGATACTTACACTCAGGTATCAGTGACAACAATAATCACATTGTTGTAGGACTTGATACACTTAAGGTATCGGTGACAATAATCACATTGTTGTAGACTTGATACACTTGATACCTGACAATAATCACATTGTTGTATGACAAATCACGGTGTTGTGACACTTGATACACTACTAACAGGGTATCGGTGACAATAATCACATTGTTGTAGACTTGATACACTCAGGGTATCGGTGACAATAATCACATTGTTGTAGACTTGATACACTTAGGGTATCGGTGACAATAATCACATTGTTGTAGACTTGATACACTCAGGGTATCGGTGACAATAATCACATTGTTGTAGACTTGATACACTTAGGGTATCGGTGACAATAATCACATTGTTGTGGACTTGATACACTAGTATCGGTGACAATAATCACATTGTTGTAGACTTGATACACTTAGGGTATCGGTGACAATAATCACATTGTTGTGGACTTGATACACTCAGGGTATCGGTGACAATAATCACATTGTTGTGGACTTGATACACTCAGGGTATCGGTGACAATAATCACGTTGTTGTGGACTTGATACACTTAGGGTATCGGTGACAATAATCACATCGTTGTAGACTTCATACACTCAGGGTATCGGTGACAATAATGACATTGTTGTAGACTTGATACACTCAGGGTATCGGTGACAATAATCACGTTGTTGTAGACTTGATACACTCAGGATACCGGGGACAATAATCATATTGTTATCGACTTGATACACACAGGGCAGCGGTGACAATAATCACATTGTTGTAGACTTGATACACTCAGGGTACCGGTGACAACATTCACATTGTTGTAGACTTGATACACTCAGGGTATCGGTGACAATAATCACATTGTTGTAGACTTGATACACTTAGGGTATCGGTGACAATAATCACATTGTTGTGGACTTGATACACTTAGGGTATCGGTGACAATAATCACATTGTTGTAGACTTGATACACTCAGGGTATCGGTGACAATAATCACATTGTGGTAGACTTGATACACTCAGGGTATCGGTGACAATAATCACATTGTTGTGGACTTGATACACTCAGGGTATCGGTGAAAATAATCACGTTGTTGTGGACTTGATACACTTGGGGTATCGGTGACAATAATCACATTGTTGTAGACTTGATACACTCAGGGTATCGGTGACAATAATCACATTGTTGTGGACTTGATACAGTCAGAGTATCGGTGACAATAATCGCATCGTTGTAGACTTGATACACACAGGGCAGCGGTGACAATAATCACATTGTTGTAGACTTGATACACTCAGGGTACCGGTGACAACATTCACATTGTTGTAGACTTGATACACTCAGGGTATCGGTGACAATAATCACATTGTTGTAGACTTGATACACTTAGGGTATCGGTGACAATAATCACATTGTTGTAGACTTGATACACTCAGGGTATCGGTGACAATAATCACATTGTTGTGGACTTGATACACTCAGGGTATCGGTGACAATAATCACATTGTTGTGGACTTGATACACTCAGGGTATCGGTGACAATAATCACGTTGTTGTGGACTTGATACACTCAGGGTATCGGTGACAATAATCACATTGTTGTAGACTTGATACACTTGGGGTATCGGTGACAATAATCACATTGTTGTGGACTTGATACAGTCAGAGTATCGGTGACAATAATCACATCGTTGTAGACTTGATACACTCAGGGTATCGGTGGCAATAATCACATTGTTGTCGACTTGATACACTCAGGGTATCGGTGACAATAATCACGTTGTTGTGGACTTGGTACACTTAGGGTATCGGTGACAATAATCACATTGTTGTGCACTTGATACACTTAGGGTATCGGTGACAATAATCACATTGTTGTGGACTTGATACACTCAGGGTATCGGTGACAATAATGACATTGTTGTAGACTTCATACACTCAGGGTATCGGTGACAATAATGACATTGTTGTAGACTTGATACACTCAGGATACCGGTGACAATAATCATATTGTTATCGACTTGATACACAGAGGGCAGCGGTGACAATAATCACATTGTTGTAGACTTGATACACTCAGGGTACCGGTGACAACATTCACATTGTTGTAGACTTGATACACTCAGGGTATCGGTGACAATAATCACATTGTTGTAGACTTGATACACTTAGGGTATCGGTGACAATAATCACATTGTTGTAGACTTGATACACTCAGGGTATCGGTGACAATAATCACATTGTTGTAGACTTGATACACTCAGGGTACCGGTGACAACATTCACATTGTTGTAGACTTGATACACTTAGGGTATCGGTGAAAATAATCACGTTGTTGTGGACTTGATACACTTGGGGTATCGGTGACAATAATCACATTGTTGTAGACTTGATACACTCAGGGTATCGGTGACAATAATCACATTGTTGTGGACTTGATACAGTCAGAGTATCGGTGACAATAATCACATCGTTGTAGACTTGATACACTCAGGGTATCGGTGGCAATAATCACATTGTTGTGGACTTGATACACTCAGGGTATCGGTGACAATAATCACGTTGTTGTGGACTTGGTACACTTAGGGTATCGGTGACAATAATCACATTGTTGTAGACTTGATACACTTAGGGTATCGGTGACAATAATCACATTGTTGTGGACTTGATACACTCAGGGTATCGGTGACAATAATCACATTGTTGTAGACTTGATACACTCAGGGTATCGGTGACAATAATCACATTGTTGTGGACTTGATACACTCAGGGTATCGGTGACAATAATCACATTGTTGTGGACTTGATACAGTCAGAGTATCGGTGACAATAATCACATCGTTGTAGACTTGATACACTCAGGGTATCGGTGGCAATAATCACATTGTTGTGGACTTGATACACTCAGGGTATCGGTGATAATAATCACGTTGTTGTGGACTTGGTACACTTAGGGTATCGGTGACAATAATCACATTGTTGTACACTTGATACACTTAGGGTATCGGTGACAATAATCACATTGTTGTGGACTTGATACACTCAGGGTATCTGTGACAATAATCACATTGTTGTGGAGTTGATACACTCAGGGTATCGGTGACAATAATCACGTTGTTGTGGACTTGATACACTTAGGGTATCGGTGACAATAATCACATCGTTGTAGACTTCATACACTCAGGGTATCGGTGACAATAATGACATTGTTGTAGACTTGATACACTCAGGGTATCGGTGACAATAATCACATTGTTGTAGACTTGATACACTCAGGGTATCGGTGACAATAATCACATTGTTGTGGACTTGATACACTCAGGGTATCGGTGACAATAATCACATTGTTGTAGACTTGATACACTCAGGGTATCGGTGACAATAATCACATCGTTGTAGACTTGATACACTCAGGGTATCGGTGGCAATAATCACATTGTTGTGGACTTGATACACTCAGGGTATCGGTGACAATAATCACGTTGTTGTGGACTTGGTACACTTAGGGTATCGGTGACAATAATCACATTGTTGTAGACTTGATACAGTCAGGGTATCGGTGACAATAACGACATTGTTGTGGACATTCCTGACTAGACCTGACTCAATACGAGAAAAGGCATTTAATGCTCTCTAGGTGAGCTGAAGCGATGATGGACATTTGTTTGTAGCTTTTGTTTCCTGTTTCACCGAAGGTGGGACCATTTGAATGGCTCTCCGCGTGTGGTAACTTTGTTAAGTCACTACATGTGCAAGGAATGTCATTGTGACCAATATTTATCTGACAGTTAGTTACATATCAAGCTTGGCGAGTTATTTGGTTGTGAAAGCCACAAAACTTGGTCTTACCTTCGCAGTAGGTCGTCAGCAGCAGACTGGCACAGAGTTACTGTCTATATTGCCCTGATCGTGCACTGTATGACAGTATGACAACAGTTGGTAGTTATTATCATCCACCATCACTCATGGATGAAGAGCGCGGTGACATGCATTTAAATTACATTTGTGACGTCATTCCATGGTCTGTTCGCTCCATTACTTTTCAGGAATGGAGCGATGTGTACCAGTTTCAAGATAAAACCTTCATTTTGTCATTTTGACATTTAATTTTGATAACAGAAATATTCCCAATACTTCGAATGTAATTTAAGTAGGGTAATATCCTCGTAACTCTCCATTCCTTAAAAATAATGTGCCTCGGCCCCTCCGGGGCCTCGGCTCCATTATTTTTAAGGAATGGAGAGTTATTCGGACATTACCCTCTACATCATTATGTTATTAATGGTTTAGCATGAACACAGAAAGAAACGTTATGTGCACTGCCTGTTCAAGGAACATAGCATTGGTGGTTATCAACTTACCCAAAATGTCCTTCGTCTTGTGGCAACATATGTGGCAATCATGCAATGTTTATACTAATTTACACACAGCAAAAATAACTTAGTTTCCGTTCTTGCGGAAACCTAATTAATACTGGGTAATGTAGGTTTCCGCTAGGTTTCAGTATCCGGAAACAGACAATGCGAGTTTCCGCATAGTTTACAAAACTGAAACTAACAAATCTAGGTTTCCGTCAAGTTTCTACAACTGAAACTATCATTATGCGTTTCCATTTAGTTTCAGTTGGCTGAAACATTCATAGCAAAATGACTTAGTTTCCGCTATTGCGGAAACCTATTGAATACTGGGTAATGTAGGTTTCCGCTAGGTTTCTGTTGGTTTCAGCTTAGATAAAATGGCAAACTTAACTTTGTGCTGTTCCATTGGGGGGACAATATTTACTTACTGTTACATTTGCAAGATAATTTCTATATACAGAATCCAGCTAGGGTCCATGCAGGAAGCAAAAGTACTGTACGTTCCCGTAGTCCCTAGTATGTTGATCAACCTTCAGGTGTTGGCAATCTATAGCCCATTTTTATACTGTACCGTTAAAGTGTTTATGGTTACATGCCAGTTTTTAGTGTACATTTGTGATAGACTAGTTATTTTACTGTCCTTAGAAGACAGGTAGGTATATAAGTTTGTTTTTATTTCATGTACACATTTACAAATTTAGATTTACGACTTTCACGATATGGCTGCCGATGTGACTTTGTAACTCACTAACATTCTGCATAACTTGTGAATGTACCATTTATTACATTGTACACGAAAAACAACAAACACAGTAACACAGTCACTGATATGATTCATCTGTTTCATTATTTTGAATAGCTCACATTTCAACAGAACCCAAAAATGTATGTATGTATGTATGTATGTATGTATGTATGTATGTATGTATGTATGTATGTATGTATGTATGTATGTATGTATGTATGTATGTATGTATGTATGTATGTATGTATGTATGTATGTATGTATGTATGTATGTATGTATGTATGTATGATGTATGTATGAAGCCACATCAAGATGGAATCTTCAGCATTGGAGAACACAACTTCTGTATGAATATGCAAATACAAATATGTCAAAACCCTACCCTATGCATATGATGAAATGATGTCTACTAGTGCAGGCATAACATACTTGCTGTGGTATTTATTAAACAGATTTTAAATTCAAATTCAAATGTTTATTGTATGAAAGGTCATGGGCCCATATACATGAAGTATACATTTGAAGCTGCCTCAATGTATCTTAACATATACACACTAACAATCTCACATAGTAAAGACTTGGCAACTTGCTGACAATCATGAAGCTTCTGTTGCACTCATACTGAGCTGACAGCAATCCTCTGATCTGGTACATATGAAGCAGAGCCTGAGTTGAGACATTTGTTTTGCCACACAGAGAAAGGGGAAATATAACCAAGTTGATTACAACAAGGCTTGAACCAGTCCACAACCGCAAACAGATGGTGTATGCTCTACTTAAGATCTGTTGGTGAATATGAAGAGTCCTGGTTGATGTCTGGCACAACATCGTTGCCATGCTCATCGTCCCACACAGACTCTGCATCATCCTGCAAATACAATACATACAATGCTTAGTAAAACTACAAAAACAGCCAAAGTAACACATGTATACATATTCAAAAACATGCACAGTGGTATATCTGATCACAATGAAATTATAAAATTAGAACGACTAATTTGTAGATGTACCCAAAAGATTTTTTCACAATCACAAAGGAAAGATCTGTAGTATACATGTATATTGTATCTTCCATTGGACATGTCACTTATTTGATTGATTGGTACCAGAAAATAGTAGCCAACCCAGTATTCTGAAGCAAATTGTGGTAATATTTATTACTGTTACTGTACTCATATTCAAGGTAACATCTACTACCAAATCGCCAATTGAAATCTAAGAATAGGTAAAACGTTCCATACATATTTTAAATAGATACGAATCATGTTTAAACACTGAATGTAACACCTAATTATATATGTGATCTTATTCATTTCAAATTGAAATGACCAACTCAACTGAGAAAAAGCATACAAAACCTAACATTTCCCATGAATGAAAAATCGTGGGTATTTCTTAGTTTTATCAACCCTCTAAAGAAACATTCACAGCAATATAATAACAAAAAATATTATTTTTTAATGTGACCTTTACTTTAATTTAAAAACTGTAAAATGTGTAACACAACTTATTCACTTACAGTTACAGTTACATATTTGATATACAATAATTAAATATATTCATTATTGATATATGATGGATAACAAAGGGACAGATCAAACTGAAGTCGTTAAGTGAAACCTATGAAGTGAAGTATCTTTGACGACTAACCTGATGAGAAACTGCCGTCCATTCCAGACGGATTCCTTGTTTCCTTGAAACAAGCGACTGGCAGTGCGGACAGAAAACTGGTCTTCTTCTTGGAACTGAAAAACATATCAACTTATAATTACACTGGAATCCACGCACTGTTACATTTTGAGTGATTATATTTTTCACAAAGATAAAGAAATTTATTCTATGTATCTATTTAGTGTTTACTTGTTTTTGACTAAATGCTGATGAATAAAAATATTGTTTTAAGATTTCCTTTAATGAAATTAGGAGCATGGTAGGGTGTAACTATAAATGATTACCAAGCCAAGCCTCTTGTCAATCTCCAACAAGTCCCTAGATCCACAAAACGTATCTGTAAATTGAAACAATGATTCTTTTAGAAATGTTATACGTGACTTGTGTCAATGCATTGTAAGGCTAAGAGGTTTAATAATTGATTACACAAATTATTACACAAAGCTATGAGTGTAAAGTATATGTAATAATTGTTTTAATGGTTATAAAATGATAAAATAGATGAACTGGTATAATTGGATAAATACCGCCATATAGCTGGAATATTGCTGAGTGCGGCGTAATACTAAACTCACTCACTCGGATATATTGAGCTGACATTACATATAAGCTAGCAATATATACTGCAAAATTAGATAATTTAACTTATAATACATGGGAATAGTATATCTAGGTGTAGAACTGAAAAGAATGAACATGATATAAGCATGTCTAATACACTTGCATGTTTGGATCTCAATGGGTAAATTACTTACATGATGAAGTTTTACGTCCAGCAAAAATATTTTCGTATATTGCCTACTCCTGACAGGGTTTTGAAAAATCACCTATTTGTCACTAACACAAGTTCTCACGAGTAGGACTCATGAAGCTCGATCAGGGTGCCGTTCCACTAACCGATCTTAGCCCTACGCCAATCGTAAACCCCTAAAATCCCAATCTTAGCGTGACGTTACGATCGGCATACCGTTCCACTAACCAATCTTACCCAAGTCAATCGTAAAGTTAAGATCCAAAGTCTAAGTTGCTCATGACCAACTTAGGATAGCTAAAATCAATCGTACAGAAACCAAAATGGTGGCTTTCCTATTCTATGTGAAAAATAAGAGCGAGCATTTCACCGTGAGCGTCCCCTAAAATCCCCCCATGAAATGAATTTGTATATTTCTGTGATGTAAACAAACACCGCACTGAAGCCTTACAAATGTCAGGCCAGTCTGACCACTGTCGTCATGGGAACACAACCGAGCGAGTCGGTGTAACACATTTGTACAACAATATTGCAACGTCATGGTTAAGAATAGGGACAGCCGTGAAGTGAACAATGTTCTGAAGCAAAAAGATACGAATATGTTTCATTTCACTGCGCATATTTGGTGGGGGATTCTAAAGGCAGGCCGCGTGTTATTCAGGCACATATTAAAAGCTCTGACACAATTGACATTTTTAAAGTCCAGACTTAAAACCTGTTCTCAGTTTATTACTTATAATCTCGGCTGTAAATACTCCCGTGTAAATTATCTGTACATGGCGCTTTGAGCATGCCCCGGGATGTAGAATAGGCGCACTATAAATATGCATTTATTATTATTATATTATGCCTGATACCCAGCGTTCACACGCACTTGCACCTGAAACCAAGGTGCTCACTACCCTAATATTTTGCTCTAGCTTTTTTTCTCCACGTTTACACATGGTTGGAAAAATACCAATGAAGGCCCGGGTTAGAATATTGAACTTCAATAACCCATGCTTGTCGTAAGAGGCCAGTAACGGGATCGGGTGGTCAGGCTCGCTGACTTGGTTGACACATGTAATCGGTTCCCAACTGCGCAGATCGATGCTCATGCTGTTGATCACTGGATTGTCTGGTCCAGACTCGATTATTTATAGCTAAGATACATAGCGTTCACTAACATGAACGCTCATGTTAGTGAACGCTATGCATCTTAGTTAGATTTTTACAGACCGCCGCCATATAGCTGGACTATTGCTGAGTGCGGCGTAAATCTAAACTCACTCACTCATTCAGTTGGTTCGTAAACTACTTCCATCATTTGCTAGACTATGCAAAGGGAGATAACTCGTGCCTCGCATTCCTCTATCTCTCGCACGAAAGAGTCTCGATC